GCAGTGACCAACTGCTCCCACGAGATGCGTGGCTCCACACCCCACTGCCAGCTCTTCGGCAGTCAAGACCCTCTCCATGTCAAGGTTGGGTGCGCACCTGACCCTGGCGCCCCAGCCTCAGCATCTGGGGGTAGGCAAACTGGCACAATGGTCATACAGGAGCTATCCCTGACCAGCTTCGGCCTTCGAACGAGAGCAGACTTTCATGAAAGGCACCCTCCCTATGACTCCTGAAAGAAAGGAGTTCCTGGGCCCTCCCTGCACAATGGATTAAAGCACAGCACTATGAAACTATCTGCAGCCACTGTAGCACAAGTTTGATTTCTGGACAGGGAGCTGACCCACATGGCACAGCAGACCTCCCCTGACCCACTCGCTGCTCCCTCAGCAGTATGTATTCAGTATATCAGCCTGTTCTGCTCTCCACTCTGTCTCTGGTGAATCCTCTCACCTCCTACACTTCTGGCCTGTACCCCAGTTCTTGTATGCATAATAACATCTTTAATAATAAAAAAGAATGGGGTTCCTGCCTCCCCCATAGTTAATATCTGGGCAATCAAGTCTCCCTGAGACTGCCACCACTGGGCAGCCTGAGGCCCACCCTGTAGCAGCCCATGTCCTCAGGTGAGGGGATCAGGTCCTGTGCTGGCCCGTCCAAAGTGGCACTTCTCAACAAGGGCAACTGTCCAGGACAGGAGGGCACACACCCAGAGCTGTGGCCACGAGGTGTGGCCAGTAGCCTGCCCCAGGCAAGCAGGTTTGTGGCCTACACGCATGGCTGCCTTTGACCCCAGTACACTCCCCAGGCCCCACAGGTGGATGTGCCTTCAGCTCCTGCAGCTCCTGGATTGCCCAGCATTACAACCCAACAGCACAGAGGTAACTCACTGGGACAGGCAGGCAACTTGAGCCCACCCAAGGGTGTCACTAAGACACCCGTGTCTCTTTGGCGCACCCCACCTCACCTGCGAGGAGCAGACTCCCAGGTGCCTCTTGGCGGCTGCATCGAGCACATCCCCAGGTGCACACCATGATGGTCAGGGACAAAACTGTTCCAGGAGAAGGTGTTCCCTCTCCCCCAGATTCTTGCCTGGCTGGAGGGGCTCTGGTGCCCTCATGGCAGCCTTGAAGGGCTGAACCCACCAGGACTTTATTTCTGTACATGGAGTTAAGTCACCCGACTTCACCTTTTTATGGCTGAAGACTATAGTCACCACTCAGCAGGAGGTGCAGCCAGAGGGGCCCACCCTATGTGGGAAGGATGTACCCACTGAAGCCACTAGCGAAAGGACCCAGATTTGCTGAACAGATTCAAATGGAAACAGCAACAGCCAGCACCCCTCTGTGCACCTGCCCAAAGCACAAGAGCTACGGGACACACCTGGTGAAGCGCAATCACACAGGTGTGCATGTGTGTGTGGAGGGGGGTCTTGTCAGGCTAAGGCGAGGTGAACTATGGCCAAGAACAAACACACCAGATATTTACAACCAGGGAACTCGAGAGCCGGGAAGTGAAGGTTTCGAGGCTGAAAGGGCCAGGGCAGGCAGGATGGTGACAGGGATAAGCGTATCTTCTTCACTTTTGTCTGAGGTGAAGTTGATGTTGATGAATGTGACTCAAAGACACAGGGCTTCTCCCAGTGATGCCAAATGCAGCCCCCACACTACTAAGAGCCTAGTGTGAGGCCTTCCAGGTGGGGCCCTTCCATGCTTACAACACCCACACAAAAGACTTGTCTGGCTGTCACCAAACTGCATGAGGAAATGCTGGGTGATCTCAGCAGGGTTAAGAACGGTGTGGGACTGTGGACCAGCAACTGACACATGTGCAGCACAGACACCTGCCAGGGTCTGAGAGCCAGCTGTCCCCACAGGTAAGTTTCTTCTGAAGCATCCATCCCAGGGGCATTCCTGTAGCCTAGGGATCTGTCCCAGGCTGTCACCACTGTGGCTTGAATTCGGTCCCCAGCCAGGGAGCTGTTCCACATGGTGCAGATCTCTCCTGTCTCCCCGCTGCTCCCCTCAGCAGTGTTTCAGGGAATCCACTTACTCTGCCTCTGCTGAGTGTTCTCACCCTTTCACATCTAGCCTGCACCCCAGCACTTCTATGCATTACCCAGTGCCCTCTCAGGAACCTGCCTCACCTGGGATGGAGCAAGGGTAAGAGGGGTGCGGCCCAGAGCTCCCAGCATCAGGTGGGTAGGAGCAGGCAGGCGGTGTGGGTCTGGGAGTCCATCACATGCCTACACACACCTCGGGCGTGACAAAGCAGCTCTTTGGCCAGAACATACCAAGAAATCTGACCTGACTTTTCCTGATTTTTTAAGGACGTTTCCTAGGCTCTCTAAGAAACTATCTAGGACACGCACAAGAAAGCTCATGCCATAGCTGATTCGCAACGTCTAATTACTTAACATGGTGCATCAAAGGACTGCATGTATGCAAGAGGAGGCAAGAGTGAGAGCAGGTGTAACTGTTACCAAGAACCTGGTCCCCACAGAGCAGCCTACACACAAGAACACTCCTCAGATGACTGCCCGACTCGGGCTGTAAGGAGAGAGAACACCTGTGAACCCTCCTGGGTGAGCTCCACAAGGCGGGGGTGAGGCCAGGAAAGGGGAGTCCAGGTCCTGCTCAGCCTCCCCACCCCAAGTAAAGTGGCCTGAAATGACCCGGCCAAGGCCTGCACTTCACACGACTCCTGAAAGGGCTCAAGCTTTGCCTCCACTGTAATCCTGATGTGACTACTGGAAGCAGCCACTGGAGACAACAGGAAAGGAGGCTGAGGTGCAGGTATCACAGCCAACTGACCCCATCTACTGGCCTCCAAGACACGAGGCCACATGGCCTCATCATGGGCCAGGTTTGCTGAAAAAGTGGTCACCAGGCTGGCCCAGCTCCCTGCCCTGGCCCTCCTCTCCATCCCGCCTGGCCATGAAGCAGAGCAGAAGGGCCCAGGACCCTGCCAGCTGCAGAGACACCTGCCAAGGCGCCTCAGAGGAACCTGCACCTGTCACCGCAGTGGGGCAGGAGAGGGGAGGACGCCTCGCAGTACTCACAATCAGCCGTGTACTCCTCTGCGGGGGGCTGTGTGGCGGCACCTCCTTCTACTGCAGGCTGGGGCGGGGCGGGACTGTCAGCCTGGGCTTTCCGGACCAGAACGGCCAAGGGGTGATCCGGGTCCACAACCTTCAGAGGCTGCAGGCAGAGGGGTGCATTCACACCAATCTCAGTGTCTAAGCCACACACAGCACTCCTGTGGTGAGCAGGCCCAGTGTACTACTCCGAGCACCTTCAGCTCTAACTGTGATGTGACTTCAGCAGGGGAAAGTCCTGTCACTTCACGCTGTCACTGACCATGACAAAAAGGGTGAATGGGTCCCAAAAGCTACCAACAGAGACGTGCCCCAGCTCATATGGCATTTTGGGGCCTCTGCCTCTCAGCCATTTCTAATCTTTAATCCATCAACTTTTTTTTTTTAAACCAACAACTTTTAAGTCCACCTGTCAGCAATGCGCCCTCAGCATACACGGTGCCCCAGGTCTGCTGAGAAGACAGGTGTGCCTGTGGCTAGTCATACTGGGCAAGCCCTTCCCTAGTGGGGGCAGGCAGGGAAACCCATCCACTTTGGGGTGACAGGGAGCTACCTGAAAAGGTGAGGGGGTTTCAAACAGCATATCCTCTTACTGTCTGAAAATACAGGACCCGTGATGCCAAAGCCTCCATGAGGAAACTGCTCCCTAGTCTCGGTCAACATTCTATTGATCCTACACAGCCCACACGAGGACATAACAAAATGGAAACCTCCTGCTTGTGAAACTTAAAAAATGGACCAGACAATGAAAGCAGCAGGCCCCTGCCACTGAGCTAACCCTGCCTCAGTGATGGCAACCTAAGGAGCAGCTGCCTCGTGGGGAATGGCTCTATGACCCGCTCCCTCATCAGCAGCCCTTCCTGGAGGGGCATCAAGTGCAGGGTGGCACCAAGTTCAGAAGCAAGGTGAGACCTTCATGAGCTCCTCCAGGCGGCTGCACTTCTTGGAGGCAAAGAGCGACGGGTGCAGGTAGTTCCCATCCTCCTCGTCATCCTCCTCATCCGAGCTGAGCCCTGGCTCTGGAAGCAAAAGTACAAGTCAAGGTTTGGGCGCGTGGCAGAGGCAAGAACCAGAGGCAGGCAGGGTGGAGCTACAGAGCCAGCTGCCACTGTCCATCAAACCAGCCCTGGAAAGGCTCCCAGCAGCTCAGCCAGGCTGCTTGCCCATGCCACTCAGTAGTTGCTGGGCAGCGTCTGCAGGCTGTGGGCCCTGCCCTTTCATTCTTTAGAAAGTCTGCTGATTTACAAGAGGTAAAATGACGGTGTCGTATTTTAACAGAATGGAACAAGCAAACACTGAGCTGAGCTCTGCAGTGGAACTGGCAGGAGTGACCTCAAAAGCCGCTCCCGCTGAGACCAACCATGGCAAGCCTGCCCAGGGACACTGCTCTGTGAAAGTGTCCAGTGCTGGCCCTTTCGAAGCCAGGTGTGGCAGCTAAGCTCTGGCTTACGCCAAGAGAAGTTAACGTCACTCAAGTCCTGGCCCTTGTGGAGTGGTGAGGGATGCTGCAGGGAGCACCCAAAAGGGATGTTCCTGGCTTTTCCCTTTAGCCAAAGTGAGGGGGAAATGCCCAACCTAGCCACCGCAGTCTGAGTGCATTGCACTCACATTTCCCCATCTCCGGAAGTCTGGTTAAGACCCTGTGAGACTTTCAAACCCACGTGTGAGGGTGTGCGGGATTCTGTGCCCACCTTGTGGCAGGAGCTCAGCCCTCTTAGACCACCCACATCCTCTGCCTGCCCATGTGAGACAAGACAGCCAGCTACTTACTCTTCTTCTCGTCGGCCCTGCCCTCGGCCAGTGCTGTGTAGCGTCCCTCCTTCATGGCTTTCTGGATGAACTTGTAGTAGGGGTTGAGGTAGTGGTCGAAGCGCAGGAAGTCGAACTGGGAGTTTCGGGCCTGCTTGGCCTTGAGCATGATCTCGAACTGTGCGCCCTGTCTGCACACAAAGCTGGCAGTGCGCTCGATGATGGCGTGCATCTTGGCTGTGGGTGGCTATGGGCACACATATTCATGGCGTTAACCTCTCCAACCACATGACTTAATCAAAATGTCAGAGAACCCCAGAGTCACTGCTGATGATGAGAAAGAAGAGACTAGGGTCCTCCCTGGTGGTGCAGTGGGTTCAAGTGCAGCACTACAAAGCTAGTTGTAGCTGCTTTAGCACTAGTTCAATTCCTGGCCAGGGAGGTGGCCCACATGGCATAGTAGATCTTTCCTGTCTTGCCTACTGCTCTCCTCAGCAGTGTACTTCATCGATCTGCCTGTTTTGCTCCCCATTCTGTCTCCAGTGAATCCTCTCACTGTTCCTGTACCTCTGGCCTGTATGATAAGTAAATCTTTAAAAAAGAAATGAGACATTTCTGCTGGCCCAGCCAGCCTGGCCAACCACAACCCTCTCTCTAGGACAACCATAATAAATTGGTCCAGAACAATGGGGGTGGGGTAGGGGGGTGTCATTTTCTAAGTGGATCAGCACATTCCATATAATGGGTCCTTCATTGGGCTTAAGAGGGGCTCGTGCGCTACACAGATTGTGCATGTGTACACTCATTTCCCAAGGGTCTAAGAGTCACTCTTATCTTTTCTCAGGTAGGAGCAGCATCTATGGCTCAGGAGACGGTCCTTTGGGGCTGTATGCTCACACCGTCTTTTCCTCTCCCACTTCCTCCTGGAAGATGGGGCTCCAGTTCACCAAACTCCTGGCTGAAGGTATAGCTTCCTGAACTAAAGCTATACTCTGTGTGGCATGCCAAAATGGGGGGCCACCACCAGGAACCAAGGCTACCTCCCCCCACCCTGACCCCCTGTGGATGACTTAACATCAGGCACCCTGCACCCCTGCAGATGCTACAGCTGTGCGTCTCCACACCAAGGGAGAAGACAACACTGGGAAATTAGCAAATGAGGGGTGGAGTTTACTTGTTAAAAACAGGAAGCCAAGGGTTCCGGATGAGATCTACACAGAAGAGAACTGCCCTGGCTTTTGAACTTTCAAACCTGGGACATCCTTCACATTCATAGGAGGATGAAGATCTACAGTTAAAGTGTTTACTGACCACCAAATAAATGCCACTCCAGGGACAGAGCCACACCCTGTGCGACTGGTCACTCACAGGTGACACAAGATGACCGGATAAGACACAACCACATGCATACCAACTCCAGGCACCCCTCAGAACAATGACCTGGGGGTGCTCTGTGGGCCAACACCCTGTTGGTCTACATGCCAGCTGACCTGGCTGCAGCAGGGTACCAGGCTTGCGTGTGTGACAGCAACACTGAGCACTTCACAGGCCAACGAGACAGCAGCAGCCGGAGGCGATGCGCCCGGGGCACACAGCTGGGTAGGCACACCCATCCACCTAGTCTTGACAACCCAGAGAAGAAGCAAGCTAGCCCGGGAGGGCAGGAGTCGAGCCCCCTCACCCAGTCACAGCACCATGACTATGGTGAGGACCCCACTGGAGCGTATATCAGCCAGCGTTACTCCAGGCTCAGGTGTGGTCCAGGCCCCCACGTGCCCATGCAGCAGCCACTCAGCATCTCAACCCCAGACCTGTGTCTCATGGCGCTTCAGAAGCGAGGGCAGTTGTGCTGCTACCACTCAGCTGATGCCTGAGGGCTGCACACCCAGGCTCTGAGCTTTGCGTCCTTGTCACCTTTTCTTCTATGCACAGGATGTGGCCAAAGCAGTCTGTTTCCCTCAGAAACAGGGCCCGAGGCCTGTGGAGCATTCTGGTGCCTGGGGCTGGCTGGTTGGCCCGAGGTCAGTGTAGGGGGAGAGGCAGAACAGATGGGGGCTCATCAATCCCAGTCAAATTCGGGCACACGCCAGGGGAGTGTACCACCACAAACCCGCTGAGCACAGGCACCAAACGGGCAGCATGCACAGGAACCAGGGGCTGAGTACAACTCCACAGAGAGATACCACCTCTCCCAGGGGCCTGCCGTCCAGCAGAATGTCCCAAGGAAAACACACAAAACCCCCTTCCAGGTATATGCACACAACAAAAAACAAGAACTACAAAAACATGTGTGAGGCAGAGGTGCCACAGTAGAGGCCAGGATGAGCACTAGCCGCCATATCCAAGCAGGCTCCCCCTCAGCTTCACCCCGAAAGGGGGCACCCTCAGGCTCATTGGGTCGCCAGCAGGGACAGAAAGGACATGGAGCAGCCTGGGCCACCGAGAGCCTGCGGTGCCCACTGAAATTCCAGCTCATTTCACAGGGGGTCAGCATGAAGCAGAAGCTGCCCGATGGCCATGGGTCAGTTGGGCTGGAAGGCCCTGCTCAGGATTCCCATCATCCCAGGGCCTGGGTGTTTCTGGGCTACAAGCCCATGAGGAAGACACAAGGTGACTAACAAGTGGACATAAAGATGTGTATGTTGAGAACCAAAAAGCCACCCGAGAAAATGCCAGAACACCTGACTGTAGGCCCTGCAGCCTGGGTGGGTGCCGGCTCTCAGTCTGGGGGCCAAGAGCCCACTCAGCACCATTGTTGATATAGTCTCTAGCCTAGTGAAATAGTACGAAACAGGTGGGCATGACTCTCCCTCACAAACTAGGGCCTTGGCACAGCAGTTCTCATACATCCAGAAGGCGGCTCTGAGGTGACAGTTCCCACAGGCTGCACTCAACACAACAGTAATCAAGGCCTCAGACCACGATGCAGAACACACATACCAGCTCCACGTCAGGTGGCACGTTCAATCCTGAAGGGGCAACAAAAGGCTCCTCGTTTTCCTCTGAATTTTCAGCTTCATTTTTTTCTGAATGAAAAGGAAAGATAGAAGCTCAGAACAGCACAGTGCGTGGCGGGGCTCCCAGTGCAACCCCTGCACTGCCTTCCCGATTCTCTCCCACCCTCGGAGGTGAAACCAACTCAGGCAGCACAGAGGTGGGGAAGGCAGGAGCGCCTGCTCAGGCCAAGCCTGAACTCAGCCCTGTTCCAGCCATCCCTTGGCATATTTAGCTGGGGTTGCACAGACTGCCTCCAGCCACCCTTGGGGCCTCCCTAGGGCACCAGGCAGAGCACAGGTGCCCAAATTACAGGAAAACCAGCTCTCACCACAGCAATTCGTAAAGCTGGGGTGACAGCCAGATGCCCCTGAGACAACTACCCTGATATACCAGTGTGTTCCTGTCATCTGGGCCTCGTCATCAGCGGCACATCAGGAGCACCTGGCCTTTTAAGCTACAACTCCTAATGTGGCTCTCTCTGTCAAAACTGCTCAGGGGCTGACCAGTTTAAACATACAGTGAAATGTGCACAGGTAGAGCGAAGCTAACATTTTAAGGGGTTTCAACATTTACATAGGTTTTTACTTCAAAAAACATGACAGGAGAGCCTCCCTAGTGGCACAGAGGTTAAAGTCTCAGTGCTATCAAGCCATCACCAGCCACTGAAACAAGAGTTTAATTTGCAAGCCTGGGAACCAATCCACACACACAGCAACCTCTCCTGTCTCCCTGCTGCTGCAGCGTATTTCAGTAGACCACCTATTCTGCTCCTCACTCTGTCTCTGCTGAGTCCTCTCAGTCCTCCATTCCTCTGGCCTACACCCCAGCTCTTGTATGCATAAATAAACAAATCTTGACAAAAAAAAAGAACATGAAATATTCCATCTGCATCAAAATGTTTCTACCACACACATGGAGGGCAGCGGCAGCTGGGCTGAGCACACAGGCAGTGCGGGGAGCCCCAGAGCACATCTGCCTACACACCTTGCTCTCACTGGAGAAAATGGATGAACATGGGAGAGGCTGTGCTGCGGCCCGAAAATCCCCGGGGTCAGCCACCCACCATCCAGCGGTGGGGACAGTGCCACCACGGAGCCAGGGGAGACGAGCGAGCCACAATAGTATGCAACATGCCCTCTAGCAACTCATCCACTCAAAGCTCTCTGGGAACGCTTACTGCTGCTTCCTTAAATGACAGTGTGACACAGACCCTGATGGTAAGGCCCTTCCTGGTGTCAGCCCCAGGATAAAGGCACCAGCTCCAGAGAGCTGCAGTGGCAGGTGGCCTATGTGCCTCCTACATCTCCTTGTTCTCTCTCTCACACATACACAAAATGGCTTTAGTAGCAGCAGATACAAACCATTTCTAGTGATCTTTTCTCATCACAAAAAAAAAAAACCCTCTGTAATAATAGTGAAAAATCATGAAAGCTTGCAGCCAGGCTGACAAACAGTAAGCTGCAAAAAGAAGGAGCTATTTCTCCCAGAAAGGTAGGTGCCTGCAGCTGTTTTGGCCATTGCATGAGGTCTCAAGATCCCAAGGAATATGGGGACACGGGAATTTAAGGCCAAAGGACATTTAGACACGTTGATGACTCAGGAGAACAGTAACAGAGTCCTATTTTAGACTAATGCAATTTTTGTACACTGGGCACAAGACCGAGCCCTATTATGGATGCATGCAGGTGCAGGGTGTGTGTGTGTGCAGAAGGATGTATGCAGTGTTTTGTTTGTCTACACATTTCATTGGAAGTTAGACATGAAAAGTCAAGCTGTGGATGTCGCGGGGTCCCACTCCACCACACACAGAAGGCAGAGCTGTGGAGTGCAGGCACCAAGGAGCCACGCTGAGTGTCTGGCCCCGGGGAAGAGGAACGACAACAAGCAGAAGCTGCTTAAGTTCAAGGTCATAACAAGGTCTACTTTTCATTTAGCTCACTACTACACATAGACAACAGCCCCAGACCTAGAATAGGGGCTGTCAGCATCTTGCTGTAAGACGCCAGGCAATGAATATTTCTACTGCTCAGGGCTGTGTGTTTTCTGCCACTAAGGTGCGGAAGCAGAAGAAAAGGCAGCCTGGCTGGCAGGGCTGTGCCCACACAGCATCATGAGGCCTGCCCACTGGCTTTCAATCAGAGCCTGCCCAACTCTCAGACCTTCAGCATTTCTGGAGCATCTCCGCTCTGAAGAATGGTGGTTCAAGTAGACATGCACATGTGGACAGTGACAAGGGATCCACCCCACACTGCCAAGAGACTCCTGAGAAGGCTCCGCAGCTTGGCGGGTGACAGCTCTTCTACCCAATGAAGAAAGGAGCTGAAAGGAACAAAGCTTGTCTCTGGGCAGGTCTGGCCCAAGTGCCACTCCAGAGGGCACTCCCTTGGGGACGGGAGCCCAGTGTAGCTGTAAGATACAAGGCAACAGCATCTGGCTTTGACATTAAACTCCTCAAGCCTCTTGATGTTTGCTAGTAGAAACCAATAAAGTTCCAACAACAGTTTCCGTGATCCTGCAAGTTAAATCCCCATGTGACACAGCAGCCCAAGTACGCCAGTGTCTTTCTAAAGTTCTCCTCTTCAAACTGAAGAGCCTATGGCCCCCCAGCCTCAGTGTTTTAGGTGTGTGCCACTGTTATGATAATCAATCTCCAGGTCACCTGCAGGATGTGAAAGGCGCTCACGGTGACTCAGATACCTGCTACTACCTAGGCCCATCTTAGTGCACTGTTTCGTCCAAGCGCTGTCTGGGTGCCACACACACACTGAAGGGAGGGATGTGCTGCCTGTGCCCTGGAGCAGCCTTGGGCTGTGTCCTCCCCACAACATGGTTGCTGACCCACTGTCAGCAGCCAAACACTGAGCACTGCCCAGGGCTCATGTGCTGTTCACTGACCATCACAGCTAAGGTGAAATCCCTAATCCCATCACTACTTTTTTTAATATTCAAAACCCAGAAAGTTAATTCAGAAAAGCAGCCATTTGAAACTTTTCATTGTGTATCTTAAGTGTGTCTGAAGCCCCCGTCTCATGCTTTCAGTAACCAAACTCCGCGGGACACCTGCTGTCATCTCAGCTGAGGCTTGGCCTTTCAAGGGTCCCAAACAAGTCCCCGAGGACACCAGTGCAAACTACCAGTCTAGTAACGGAATCCAGGGTGAGTGACTTCCTGTTGCCCAGACCAAACAGATGCTAAAAGGTACTAGTCCAATGCAGAAAACTGAAGTCTGGACTTGCTTCATCTCCACCAACAGTAAATTTTCTGGCTCCCAGTCCTGCCTCGCTGCAGGAAGGATACCACTGTGCGCCAGGGACCACAGGGTGTGAACGTCCGGTGCAGTGTGTGCAGAGGCCCATCCGCCCGCCGGCCTCTCACCTCTGTGTCTGGAAGGCTCCTCTTCCTCTGTTGGCTCTGACGGGTCATAATAGTCGCTGCCATAAGTGAACCCCACTGCATTATAGCCCCCATCCTCTGCCAGGGCTTCACTCAATCGCTTGTATTCTTCCTCTTGAATAAAAACGAGAACTTTATTAACAAAAATGGAAACTTACTGACAAAAATTTTACATACTGCTAAAGTTGTTGCTACCAGTAATGCATACAACACAATTGTTTCTCAACCTCTTTTTGAGGCAACATATCTTTGTAAAAATTTACACTTCACATCTATCAATATGTACTTTTGCTAGTACATGTTTACCCACAGACAGCAGAATACACGTCTTTTGTGGAAAATTTCTTCCTGCTGAGAAATTTGGGGATTAAGAACTGCATTAAAGATCGTTAAGGCAAAGACAAGAACATCGATTTTAATTTATACGATACTGTTAAAGGAGAACAGTTAAAGAGTTTGGTTTTTGTTTTTTCAAATCCCAGTCTGCCCTCAAAAGCTGGGAAAATTCTTTGTGGCTCTATATATAAACTATCCTGAGGTCCTCTCAGAACGCAAAGACTCCTGTTTTTCCAATCCACTGGGTACTGTCAAGATAATATCAGAAAGAGTGAGTATAAAAAAATGAATGGGAGTAAATTTTTAAATACTTAAAAAAATTTTTAAAGTTTGTTGCTTAAGTAAGTTTTTCTTGAGCAGTACCTTGCCTTGCCTCCTCCTCAAGCAAGTCCGTATGCAAGGCTAAATACCTCTCTTCATCACACAGGGCATCTATTCGAGCCTCCTCTTCAGAGAGCTGGTAGTCTCTGTTCCAGGTGGAATACTCAGCATCATACTCAGAAAGGTCATGCAGGTGACCACGCCCATCATATCTGCAATATGAACACACTGGTCAGTGGAGAGAAAGTGACACCCAGCTGGGCGTGTGAGGTCTTAGAGGTATACTTACCGATTAAAATAAGAAAAATATTAAAATAAACATAAAAACTCTCCTCAGATTTATATTTAACTTGGCTATTCACATCTCACCTACTTTTAAACTTGAGTTATCTTAGCAAAGTCTAAATTCCTTTATATAATATAAAACTGATAAAGGTAAGCAATTGCATAATAGCGTAAGTGGTACCCACTTCACTGGCAGTTCTTACCATTTACAGTTTGGTCAACCATTCAATGCCATTTGCAAAAAAAAATTTTTTTCTGAAAAGTCAAATATCATAGCTTACATTCACACAAACCGAATACATAAATACCTATCCGTAAGAACCAAACGGTCGAAATTTCCTCGCTTCTTTCTGCTAGTCCCGAACTCTCAGGAGAAATCTTCACCAAAGAAACTTGCGTCCATTGGAGGTAAAATCTTGGCTAGGCTCGCCCCCTAGCCACTTGGCTGAGGAAATAAGTGCTGGGTTATGTGATAGAGAGACACACATACATCGGAACAGTGACATATACATGCAGTTTAAGGAGGTTCACTGGAAACAGAGCAAAACTATTAGAGGCAGTATAAATATTTTCTTCCAGACTTTACACCGGGAATAAAACGTATGGAGACACACCCACATCTGTGGGCATAGCTCAAGTAGCACTTTAGCCAAATTGGGACTCAGAAGAGCACTTTCTGCTGTTTTTAACATAAATGATTCAACAAAGGCGTTGTGAATGTGCAGCTGTCAGGTAATAAACAAGTGAGTCAGTGAATTTTACTTAATACACTGAGATTGAGGGTCACAAAAACAAATAAAGACAAGCAAAAGTCTGCCTAATTTTTTAAAACTGACTTTTGTAACGAGGAATTTAAAAAACCCATTTACAAGAAAAAAGGCCAAAAACTCCAGGGCGGACAATTATTGCATTTTATTAAATTTCAATTTTATTTTTATATTGCTGTAAACCTCCTTAACTTACAAACTCAAATTATTTAAAAAATATTACACATGTACATGTGTAGCGTTTGCTCCCCACTAGTTTTGGAAGGTCTAACTCAAACCATGCACAGAATGATGTTGGCAAACTATAGAAATAGCTCAGACTTCTTCACTTGTGAAACATTAGTAATACCACAGGTATACTGGAAAGCAAGCAGCCTGCTGCACTCAGAAGCATCATTCAAAGGAGCCGTGAATTTAAGGCACAGCAGATTTGAGCACAGTGTGGAGCCCTCAGGTTCAGACCTGATGGGAAACCCGCCCCTCAGAAGTCCTTGTTGTCTAGCGCTAGCTCCGAAGGGACATGTCAGGGATGGAAAGGGCCTATTGGTCAGGAATGTTCCATTCTGCCAGCTCAGAGGGCCCTACAGTCATGTTCCAGGGCTTTGCAGAATCCAGTTTTAATCCAGATGGGCTTCCTTCATTTGGAGACACTATTCCACAGTTTAATGGTTGATCACGGTTAGCTTTTCAGTCCAGGCCCCCAGAAGTAGAGTTGCCAAGCCGGCAAAAAAAGAAAAACAAAAAAACAAAAAAAACAAAAAACAAAAAAGCAACAACAAAAACCCAGAAAGAAAAAGGAAGGGGGACTGAAAATATGGGTGGGGGAGGGAGCAAACATCCTACATCATGTAATGTCATTCTTTTCAAATCAATTATCTTTAGAAGCCCCCAATCCCGACCCCCTCTGCCCAAAGTAGCTGAACACCCTCCAGGGTGGCCGCCTACAGCAGGTTTGATTGGAAAAAAAACAAAAACAAAAAACACATCCGGGTCCTACCCTTGGTTTAGAGACAGTGAAACCAGCCCTAAGACACTAGCTCCGAGCATGAGGCCAGGGTCTGCGGGAGGTCACCATGCCTCCAAATGACAAGCAATTTTACTTTTGGCCTCAAACTGTCAAAGTCTCAATCTGTCTTATCACAGGTGGGAGAGGAGGAGACTGGGCCAGTCAAATGTCATGCCGGCAAAACAGACGCGCTCCACTCAGGAGGGCGCAAGCATAGTGGGTTCGAGGGTAGTAATTCGGCAAGTCGAAGAGGTTTCGGGGCGCCCTTCCAAAACACCAGTGGCAGGGAGGGAAGCGGCGCTGCACCAAGCCACAGGAGCGCGGGCAGGAGAGGGCAGGGCACCGACCACTGCGCAGAGTCGCCAGCCGGAACCCAGCGAGAGTGGGAGGGGACGAGAGGGGCTGCGGGAGCAGAGACGATCCCTCCGAAGACAGACGCGGCACGCGATTCCAGCCAGCGCCTTAGGGCAGGTTTCACCGTACTCCCCCTACCAGGACCAGGGGGATGAAGGGACAGGGGAGAGGGATTCCCCCAGACCCTCGCTGGCTCCAGAAAAGCCCCTTTTCAGTCCTGGCCATCAAGTCAACATCAGACGAAATCAAGCGGGGAGGGAAGGGTTGGACCGACGGGTGGGGGGAGAAACCGACCTGTCGATGAGGATCTTGTGGTCCCCCATCCAGGGGATGAGGTGCTGTCCCTGTTCCTGGGCCAGGGCCCGCTCGTCGTCCCGGAAGAGCTTGCAGGCATAGCCGAAGACCAGCAGCTCCACTCGGTTCCCCCCACCGCCGGCATTGCCGGGCCCGGCCTCCTCCTTCGCACCACTTTTCCTCTCGGTTTTGGCGCGGCCTCCGCTCGCGCCGTACATGACAGCGTCCCCGGCGTCCAGGCTGGTCCTCTGCCGCGCCGCGCCGATGTCCCCGATGCCTCAGCCTGGCCTACCCCCTCAGTCAAAAGCGCCGCATCCTGGTCCCAAGCTCAATGCCGCCGCCATAGTGGGCAACAAAATGGGGGAAACGCCACTTCCGGCGCGGGGCAGCCCTGCTTCCGGCGAGCGGATGCGGCAGATTCGCTGCCGCTTGGCGCCGTTTCGGTCACTAGAAAATATTTTGGCTTTGCTCTGCCGCTTCCAAAGGCAGCTCCACGTAGGAGCGGCCTCACCATGGAAGTGTAGTTTTAGTCTTGGTTTTCTCCGTGGCCGCCCAGTGTAGCGGCGAAAGCGCAGCGCCGAATCGCGAGACCCTGTCCCGGCCGCTCGGCCCGGGCAGACAGCGCGATGTTCCTGGCGCGCGTCTTTATCGCGTGCCAGGGCCTGGCGTTGGGGGGAAAGGGGGCAGCTTGGGACCCTGGTGCCTGCGTCTGTGGGACCCCAAAGCTTAGGGGGCTTGGAGGTTGGGTGGGCTTTGGGCTCTGGGGTCGGAGACTTCCGAGGCTCTGCGGTCTGATTCTCCCAAGGCCGTCGCATCTTTGCTCTGGAACCCTAATTTTTTCTAGGTCACGAGGGTTCACGAGTCCCCACCTGCCCTCCTCGGGAGTTTGCCCAGCGGCAGTCAAAATTGACGGGACTCAGGGTCCCCGGATCTTGTGGGAGAAAGTGCTGGGGGAGTAGTGTGGGGGACCCTGTTCCTAGGGGTGCCTCCTGGGCACCTCGGTTTACCCACCCGTGGTTCCATTTTGGACCCTCGTAAGGCAATCTGCAGTCTAAGGCGGGGCGGTCAAGGAGCTGGGCCAAACCCCGTTTTACTGCAGCAGCCTAAAAATCCCAGTGACTGCAAGATAGACTTTGTGCACACACCGCCCCTCTCCACAGAAGGACATCTCTACCAGCAAGGGTTTTCATAAATTAATCCACAAGCAGTTCACACCCAAGGGTCCTGCTGAACTCCGCACCCTTCTTAGCCTGCCCTCCCTGCCCCTTTGTCTAGTTGTCCCTCGAACAGTGACAAGGAGGACTCCTGTCTGGAAGTGTGTCCAGTTGCTGGGCAAGCCAGACCTTATCTTGCTAGGACAGTGCCATCCTGCTGCCCCAGGGATACAAGGCTGTCCCATGGGTCACCCTCCCAGGCTGGCCCGTTGGGTTGCTGGGCTGAGTTCAGAGAGCAGGCAGCTCTCTGAAAGTCCACATTTGCTTTGAGCTGGGGCCTCCAGGAAAGCAGCCATCAGCCTCTGTGCTCATGAGTCTCCCTCCTGGTGGAGAACTAGGAGACTGGGCCACACTGCACATCTCCCTCTCTTTCAAGGGCTCTGTGTTCCTTCCACCCATGAAGGCAATGCTCTCTGTAAAGGACCCGGGATAGTGCTCTCCAAGAGTCCTCTGGAGCTCTGACTCAGTATGGCAGTGGGCCCACAGGCCTGTGATTGGAGGGTGGAGGAGGAGGCACGGCCTGGAGCCCAGCCTGAGCAGTTGGTGAGGCAGGTTAGAGCCCGGCTGGAGGGAAGGAGCATCTTCCACCCAAAGCACTGCCTCTGGCAGGGGCAGCCAGAACTATGCTGAAGTTTGCCCATAGGGCCACACAGGCTTTGCGGAGGAATGTGCTGCCAGCATTTCTGGGGACCACCCTCTCTGTACCAGAGTAGGTGCCTGACCCTCACACTGCAGGGCCCCCACTAGCCACACACTCCTCCAGCTGCTAGGTGACTTGGGCCCCTGCCTGTCATTAGTCCTGATAGCTCACTGAGATGGAATTCCTGATAGGTCATTTAGCTGCTGATGAGAAGGGAGCCCCTTTTCCCTGAGCTCCTCTGAGTCCTTGGAGCCCAAAGCCTTGAGCAGCCTCAGGCACCTCTTGTTTAAACGGGAGGGCCCTGGAGTCCTGCTCAGCAGCACTGGGGTCATTGGGGGCCCCACAGCCTACTGCCAGCTTCTCTCAATGTCTATAAACCCACAGACCCCTGATGGTAGTGAGGGGAGCCTCAAGTTGACACCATCAGGGCAAGGGCAGTGGGGCTCACAGGTGAGACTCTAGAGATGGGATGGGAGAAAGGAATGGAAGAAACAGACCATGGGGGTTGGCCAGACCCCGTTTTACTGCAGCAGCCTAAAAATCCCAGTGACTGCAAGATAGACTTTGTGCACACACCGCCCCTCTCCACAGAAGGACACCTCTACCAGCAAGGTGGCCTGGTGCTGCGTTTTGTTTTTAAGATTTATTTATTTATGCATACAAGAACTGGGGTACGGACCAGAAGTATGGGAGGTGAGAGAATTTACCAGAAACAGCTGGAAGCAGAACCAGCGTATCAGTTGAAATACACTGCTGAGAGGTCTGTACCATGTGGGTCAGCTCCCTGGCCAAGAATCAAACTCATGTTGCCGTGGCTACTGGTAGCTTCCTGATGCTGAGACTTAACCCCTCCCACTACCAGGGAGGCCCCCTGGGTTTTGTTCTTCATGGTAGTTCAAACAAGATGCAATTCACCACCTGGGCTGTTTCTGGCAGGGCGCATGTTTACCAGATGAAGCTGAGGCCACAGCTGACGGGCCTCCACCCAGTCGCGGCCCCGCCCCTCCAGGCCCCCGCCCACATCTGGCCCCGCCTTCCTCAGTGCTCGCCCCTCTCCCGGCCCACCTTACCTCCTGGCCATTTCCTCCCGCACCTCGCCCTCTCTCCCTCTCTCCCTGTCCTCCTCAATCCTTTGTCAGCCTATGACTGACACAGAGGGGGACACTGCAGGGCCACCCTCGTGGCTGCTAACATCACCTCAGGGCCCCCAAAGTGCATTGTGACAGTGATGGGGTCGTACTTCTTCCCAGGACAGGCAGCCCTCATGGCTGGGCAGACTGCCTCTCTATGCTCAGGCATCCGCAGCGGACTCTAGTTGCTTCTGCCCCCCAGGCTCTCGTGGGAAATACACAGCAACTACAGCGCCAAGCCTCCTGAGTCCCCGCCCCATCTAGGAAGAAGACCTGAGAGGGCAGCCTGGGCTGCAGAGACTCCTGATGTCTAAGAGATTCCCTTGGTGCCAAGAGGGACTGCTGTGTCAGAACTGCGCTGTGGACAGCACTGGGCACTGCTCTCCTCTTGCACCTGGCATCTAGGCATGTGCAAGGCTATACACAGTGACAACCTGGGCACCAAGAGCCAGGTGGACTCCCCAGGAGACATTTCTCATGTCAGATGGAGGGAACCCACAAGACGAATCCCCAGGCTCTTGCTGTCTCAGGATCCGTCCACACAGTCCGACAGGGCATCTCTTCCCTACACCTCTGTTTGGGTGGCCACTTTCTGCCACCCTAGCTCTGGTTGCCCCTCCCAGTCTCCCTGTGACGGAGTAACCTGTCCTGAGTTCCTCATCCACACTCCTGCCTCCAAGCCAGTCAACACCTCTTCTCTACCAGAAAGAGTCCCCCTAGAAGCCTGGGCCCCCAGGGCAAGGATGTGGCCCAGCAGAGACAGAGAGACAGAAGATCAGGATTGAGATCCTGCACTGACCAGGAGCTACATGTGTGACAGTATGTACATAGATGTGTGTCTCAGTGGGGGGACATGTATGTGAACATGTACATAGCTGTGAGTGGGAGCACGTATAACTACGTACACCGGCGTGTGTCTCAGTGGGGGCACGTGTGTGAATGTACATAGGTGTGTGTCTCGGGGTGTATGTGTGAGTGTATATGTAGGTGTGTGTCTTTCAGTGTGAGCAAGTGTGTTTGGGCCCCATGTCTGCTTCCCCTCAGGTGGCATGTGGCCACAGCCCTCTGGATGTCAAAGGGAATCTTATTGTTACAGGCCACCCCAATGTGAATCGGGCTGCCTGTCTGTGGGTCCTCACCCATGTGCTTAAGATTCAGTCGTACTGCGGACACACAAGAAGGTTCAAGAACGGATTTATTTATAAGAAGGGTAAAGGAACAACCTAGGGGAAGAGGGTGAGAAATACAACTAGAATGTCCTACCAGTTCTGCTGACCTGGACTCCACCAGCACGCTGAAAACTGATCGAGAGCCAAACGACCAGCTGCGAACCACCAGGCCAAAAGACGCCCAGAGCCCACATGTCCTGTTTTATCCTAACCTGGCTGCTCAGCTCCGCCCTCACATTCTAGCCTGCTTCTCCTTGGTATTGATGGGATTTGTAGTTCCAGTATCTGGATTGGGGGTAGAGTCCATGAAACCTGTATCTGTTACATTATCTGCACTTAGGAGGCAGGACACA